ATCCTGGACACCTCATCCCTCATCCCAGAGATCTTATCCCTCATCCTGGACACCTCATCTCCCACCCCTGGAGTTCTTATCACCCATCCAGGAGTTCTTATCACCCATCCCATCAGCCAAAGGCCACGAGACCGGTTTTTCCCAACCCCTCCCCTCTGCTCCCAGGCCCTGGGAATCCCTGGAATTCCATGGGCAGGTCACTGGGAACAAAGGTCGGCGGAGGCTGCGGAGCAGGACCGACCCAAATCCAGGGTTTTGGGCAGAGCAAGTGCCTGGCTGGTGCAGGGAAAAGGGAGGAAGGAACTGCCCGAGGAGATCGGGATGGGCGATGCCAAAGGAGCTGGAAAATGAGTCATCCCTTGGTGCTCCCTGGCACTCCTTTAGCCCCTGTGGAATTCCCTGGCACTCCTTCAGCCCCTGTGGAATTCCCTGGCACTCCTTCAGCCCCTGTGGAATTCCCTGGCACTCCTGGCTCTGATGTGTGTGAAAACCAGCGGGCTTTCCCCCCGGGAATTCCCTGTTTTCCAGCCCTGTACCTGTCTTGGAGAAGATGAGCTGCAGGATGAGAGGCCGGCGAGTGACAATTCCGGAGCCGCGGGGAAGGAAATCCCTGGAAAGGGAGGAAAAGGTGTTCAGGGACGTGGTTCAGTGGGGGAATGGATCCAGCTGATCCCCCCCCGATCCTGGGGGGCACTGGGAAGGGGGTCGGGCACACGTGGGGTCGGTCCCTGCTCTCCTGGAGGAGGGAAAAGGACGTTCCCGGGAATGGGGAATTAAAGCAGGAATTAAATCAAGACCCAGAAACTTAAATCCCTGCTGGGTTTTAACACCTCAATAATCCAGAGGGGGAAAAAACCTCAGTGGAGGGATGAACCCACCACTGCCTCTTCATTCCCTAAAATCCCACAGTCTCACCCCGTTTCCCTAAAAATCCCCCCCGTGAAGAGCAAAACAGGGCACAGATCCCACAGAATTCCTCCGGCATCGGTGCCTGGAGCTCTGGGGGGGGAGGGAATTCTGCCTGGAAAAGGTGCTGCCCCGATGGGAAGTTGGGATCAGGGCTGGCACCGCCCTCTTCCCGAGCCGAGGGCGACGGGAATGGGATGGGGAAGCTCCTTCCTGCTGGGAAAGGGAAGCGATAAGAGCTCCCTGGGAGCGGCCGGGGCAGCTCCGGGCGGATTTACGGATTCACCGCGCCGGGAGGGGGAGAACAGGTGGAATCTCCGCTGGGCACGGAGGGTTGGCACCGGAGGGTGGCACCGGCACCGTGCCCAGGGAGCGGCTCCCGGCCGGGAATGACCCGGCCTGGACGTCGGCGGTGTCGGGAATGACAGCGGGGACATCCCGACCCCGACATCCCGACCCCGACATCCC